ATTAAATATGAATTGCATGGATTATCTGCACGTTTTAAAATATAAGTATATTTATCAAAAACTTTCAAAATGTTTGCATAAAGTTAGTTTTTGCATTGGTCGTCATCCACTTTTATTCATTTGCATTCCTCTATTATTTACCGCATTATTCGCTTGTGGATTCTTGCGAATAAAAGGGCAAAATGAAAAAGAATTTTCATATCTTCTTTTTAATGAAAAAAGTATCATAGACAGATCAGAAATAGAAAAATTATTTCAAGAAAATGCAACCGATTTTGATTTTTCTCGAACAACTAGGTTAAAGGCGTACAGTAGCATTATAGCCAAGGCTAAAGATGGAGGTTCCATGATTCGAGAATCCATATTTCAAGAAATAGAAAATTTGGATTGGATGGTTCGAAATATGACCATAATTCATAAAAAGTATAATTTAACTTATACCGATATCTGTAGAAAAACAAAAGGAATATGTTTCCATAATGATATTTTAAACTTAGTCGACAAATTAAGTGCATTCTTACATGGCAGAATACAAATCAGGTAAGATTATTTCGTGCAAAATATAATTAAAACAAAACAATAAATCTTTAAATAATTCTGTATTATATATTGTTAATATAAGCATTCATGATATATATATATATATGCCCTAATAATATAATTACATTTAATTTTTCTTGTGATTTTCTTCGTTTTTCAACACTAAATATTTTATTTTAATTAATGTGTCAAACATCTCTTTATGTGTCATCTATCTTTATAATGTATTAATATTCTATTCAAAAAGTTGACTTTTTCTATGAAAATTTACAGCCTGTTTCCTTAATTTATAGCAGAATGACATAGCTTGTCTACCGGTTCTACAGGTAAATTATCGTATTGTATTTCCATACATTACACTTATACCTAAAAGTTTTTCGATATATCGTTACGTGTAACCAATTAGGAATATTTTTCGTCAAAATTTTGTTATGTTGGCATTTAATACGTTATACTTATACGTATAAGGTAAAAAAACATATAACTTAAAGTACGTATATTGTATTTTATATCTTTCATGAAAGAGATATAATGTTTTATGATGAATTTAAAAAGAGAAGGAAAAAAATTGTATTTTTCTTAAAATAATTCTTACAATTACTTCTATATTCAATGAATAATTTCAAAATTGTTTATTGAGAATTACATCAAGATTTTATACTGTTTTTCAATAATTTCTATATAATGGATTTTTCTACAATAGACATGCATTTTACCTACTTAAATACTAAAAATAACATTAAATTATATCTCATATATTGCGTTAAGAATTCTCTCTTTACAGACAATTTTTTTAAGTGCATTTAATTTAAAAGGTTAATAAATTTTATATCCTCGGCAATGACATTCTCCATTTTATTTAAATAAATAAAATATAAAAATTATTTCATATATTTACATCCATGAACAGCTAAATATGTTTAATTTTCATAATTAAAAGTATTACTGGTAAAAATTTTTCAATATACAATTACCTTTTGTAACCATTTAAGAATATTTTTCGTAATAATTTTAGTGAATTATTAGTAAATAATTATAAAAATTCGGTTTTAAACGAATTCTCTGCTTAAATTAATAATATAATGTGAATTTAAGTGGTTTTACAACCTGAAGAATATGATTTAGTTTTATCCTCTGGATCATTAAATACACCACTACTAAAATTGCTTCTTTTAATTTTGTTAAAACACTTTATGACATAGTATATACATTAAAATATTCTTAATGATATAAATATATACCTTACGTTAAATAGGAATTAAAATATTGTCAGATTAGGCCTATATCTAAAATTCTTCGTGTTACTTCTGGAGATAAAATTTAAGTAATTTACTGTAATTATTTCAACAAAATAATTATTGATAAACAGTCTTATATATATTAAAAGTATTTATAGTATTCTTAATCGATGAAAAAGCCTTGAAAGCGAGATTATTTAATTTTTGAATAATTATGTCACATTACTTTCAAAAGTCTTTCAATAGCTTGGTTCAATGTCGATGTAATTATAAAATGCTATATAATAAAATTCGTTGAAATTATATGTCATTATTTATGATATATTATTCTATAGATTATGCCAAATAGCTTAGAAATAACATATGGAATCATGAAAAACTAGAACTTAAAAATTTATGATAAAATTATTTATACGTGTGTATACGTGTGGTGTACTTGAATAGTACAGTAGAAGGTCGACAATTATATTTTTGTTCTTATGATTGTTTATACTGGTTATACGACCTTGAGAACTCCTACATATATTTTAATATCGTAATCTTAATGGAATTTTTTTATTGAAAACAATATATCCCAATCTCTTCTAAGCGATTTTATAAAGTATTTAAAATAGTTTGTAAATTATCCACAAGATAATACAGAAAATTTCAGAATTTGATTTTTTTTTCGTTGAAAAAGCGCATGAAATAAGTTTATTTTAATGAATAACAATTATTCAATTGTTATTAATCTTTCAGACTATTATTCAATTGCCTGGAAGATTAACTTTATATTTCTATTATGTCAGCAGTTAACGCTTAATAATGATGAGATTAATATTTGTTATTGTATTGAAATCGCATTATAATAACAACTAAAATTATTAAACAGAAGAATTACCATACCATCACTAATCTGTTTTAAAGACGTTTCAATAATATGCAAGATGAAAGGTAATCTTTTATACTGATATTTGACTTTCATGACAATAGTTTCTATCTTAGTGATTTTTTTCCCTGAATATACTCATGACGACTGAATTGAGGTGTAGCTTATTGCTCTGGGAGACCAGGAATCAAATCAGGATGGGTCCAAAATTCCCGGAAATTTTTCGGGTTGTTATGATCCGTCCCGTTCCTCATCACTCTTCCTATTATGGGCCTGATTGAACCCATAATAATCTTGCTAAAAAAGGGGGCTTCTTAATGCCCTCGAGGGCATTAAGAAGCCCTCTTTTTTAGTAAAAACAAAACAAACTTGAATATTCTGAAGTTAAATATACCTCTTTAAAAACACTATTTAATCTTAAATTTTTAAAAAGATTAATTAAGAAATTTAACAATTATAATGAGAAATATTACATTTGCAAGAAAACAAAGCAAAGCAAATTACTCGTTTTGTTTTAATTATAGAAAATAAAAATTCTTGTTTTCAAAAATGATTATTTTTAACTCATTATAAAACGGTTAAATAGTTAATAAGAGATTTATGTACATATAAATTACATTATTAAGTTCTGTGCGAAATTTTTTAAGCAGAAATTGTCGTCATTTTGATTTATTTCTACTGATATGCTTGCAAATAAAGATAAGAGGAAAATTATTCTGGAAGTGAAAAAATAAACTATAACTAGTTTAAGAAGATAATTTGTATTCTAGACTATTCTTCCTTATTCTATATTCTGTCATTCGTATCACTATTTGTAGACTAAAATCTCTATAGAGTCTTATATATAATTATATATGAATTTGCCATTGTCGTCCATAGAGGGCAAACGGCCATTTGCTTTCTCCTGGAAGCGAATAAAAAACTCCACGAATTATAATCATAAAGTAATTGAGATGTGTAACCTTCACCCTCGACCAGGAAACTCTTTGTCTGACTTTTTAATACTGTATCGTATAATGTACATGTAAAAGTACCTCTAAAATTAAATAATTATATAAAAATTTATTGATGTAATTATTTATCTTCAAGCCTCGCTCCCTGGAAGATTTTCTGCAGAAGCTTGTGAATCTATTTGTATAATACCTTTTAAAATATCGAATATCAAACTATCGTCATTATAAAGTTTTTAAAGGGAAAAACACAAATATTTGAGTTACATTATTATACA